CGCGGACGCCAATAATCACTAAAATCTGGCACCCTGTATTTGTGTGAATGCCGTTCGTTAATGTCAGAGTGACAAAAGTTATGTTTTGACGTCACAAAAGGCTACCTTGTAAATAAATAACAAGATGTATAATTAAAAGGATGAATTATACTGCAGGTACATATATTAGTGTAAAACTATTTGCACATGTCTTGCATATGTTTTGCACCAAAACACTATTGGCTAATAGGTTTGTGTTTTGTATCAAGTGTGGAGGCATACACACTAGAGGATTCAGAAATGGTCAAAATGCTTCCGTTTCTGGCAGACCGAACACTTAAACGACGGATTTTTCCTTCCCTTTTATGGCCTATAATAGACATAAAATAGATATACATGCAGAAATTGTCGGTGGCGCAGAGGGGTGGGGGGTTAGTGGACGCAATTTTTTAAACGGTAGTTATCAAGACTTTTATCAATAATTTCCAGTGGAACAAAGTGAATGAAATATTCATTAAATTTATTTGACAACATATTTAAAAACGTTCTTGAGCTAAGTGTATTAATGCACTTTAATGAACCTGTCTTTAAGCAGCATTGAAAATGCCTTATATCTGTCTTATCAGATCTGTTACGAGCATTTGTAAAATCTGACACGATCTTAAAGTACAAGTATAACAATTTGTTCAGTATGTTCTGGTTAGTTTGCATTAGAGTAATCTTCTAATTGTTTCTCTGTTTAGTCCACATTTTGCCATTTGAGTTTTAGCAAATTACTTTAGAACAATAATTATTATATTTCATTTTTCGAACACGTTGTAAATGAGAAGAAAATTACAATCCAGCTATGACAACGTTACATGTTGATATATTTCGCAATCTACCCGTGTTTGTTTAATGAACGGGAATCATAGTTGATTCGGATGGGCGTTCATTATAAGATTTCAATATTAAAAGAGTTTGCTCGTTCCTGTTTGTTTAATGAAAACTGGCTGATGAACTACAAAAGTCCATTATATCAATATAGAAAAGGTCTGCATATAATCCATTTGGCATATGAAATTCAAATACGAATTTTTTGTCTATTAGTAAGCTTAATCAGTTATTTTTCAACCATATTCAAATTTCATAAGACATTCCAAATTGGATTGCTAAATAAACTTTATGTAATTGTTTAAAAGACTAGTTGTTATTTGAAAATATTTGAAATACTGACTAACATTTAATAGATTATATTTATCTTAAAACAAAAAATAAGTATAACAGTTCAAATGTTTTCCAATACATACATCATTTTCTTAATAGTATACAAATGTTGTTATTCAGTCAAGTTTGATAAATTGCCCTTAACGTATATTGTATTCCTTTAGCATGCTGTTAAAACAATTGACTTTTCCGTAAGAATCCCTTTTCAGAAACAGTTTCAGTCTTTTATATTCGTTTTGCGAACTGGTTATAAAATATTAATCGCAACATAAGTGCGATGAAAATTCAGATAAGAGAGTCAGTAAATCGTCATCATATTGTTCTAAAATAACAACATTAATGACAGAAACAATATGGTAGAGAACCCTGAGTAGATACAATTAATATGAAAGCTTCGTAAACAGACATGAACGAAAATCAGGAAGTATCGAAATGACTTCTACTTCTCGTAATCTAGTTAGATGACTTCTTTAGGTGCTCCTTAAAACTACTAAATTAAGTAAAAGATGTTACTATGCGTTTGTATGAAATATAGATTTTTGGTGTATTATTTTATATTATGAGAGTGACGTGATATTCTACTGTGAAATGAAACAGGCAACTTATGTTATTGTTTGCTTTCTTGTAAATCATTTTATTCCTTTACTTCAGTCTGCATACCCTGTAAAATGAATACAATCTACAATTGATCGATTATTTTCTTAAATAATTCATTGCAGCAATTAATCATTTTCAAAAAAGAAGATTAATATAAAGCTATACATATTATAATGTTATAGGCAAACATATTTATAATATCAGGCATATGTTATTTATGCCGCTAGTATGAACATGGTTTAATAGGTGGTTCGTATGTGTTTTAATCATATTGTATGTGTAATCATTCATATAATTATCATGAATGAATGCGCTTTATCGGTAAGAAAATAAGCAACTATTTCTCTATATATTTCATAATCAAATACACTTAAATAATTTAATACCCTTCTTAATACACATCTGTCAAAGTGTTAACGCCTTCGTTATATGAACAAAAGTTGACAACAAATATTCGTTACCCTGCTAAATTTTAAGGAAATTGTTCAGCTTCCATTTTCGAGCTGTCCATTACTAATTTCGTAAATATTAAGGTGAACATTTGCCAGTCAATAGTATAACACCTTGTCAGACTCCAAAGGTAAGCGGGCTGCCCTGGCATTAAAACATTGGTTAATATGATATAGATCTTGCAGGGCATGGGTTTACAGTCAATTCCGCAGATATGCCCGCATGTTTTGATATAGATTAGGGAAATGATCTAATGAAGAATTGCATTCTTACTACTGTTTGACAAAATTCGTACTTAACTTAGATGTTCAAACAGCGGATTGATTTTATAGGACAGTACAAAACCAGTTTATATGTCATGATAAAGGTATTATATAACTTTGACTAACAACTGAGATATAGCATGCGGTCAAATTTGATTATTCTTTTTTCATTTTTGGCAGTTATTTTATACCAAAAATATACATTTCCAAACTGTCTGCCGATTCTTTGTCTTTCATGTTGGTTATGAAAACTTTTAAATATTTAATAAAACATTTTGTATTTTCACAAACTATCTTATTGCTTAAATTTCTAATTGGTATTCATCCATGGAATGACAATTGTTGTAAAATAGTGTACGCTTATAATATTAAAAACTATTCGTATTGAAGCACAAACAGCTTATAGACATTTTAGCAAACTAGAACCGTGTCATCGTGTGGAAATGGTCAGATCGCGATGCATTTCATATGAAAGATAACGTAGAAATTGGAACATGGACAAAAAAATATATAAACAACAGTGTCAGTGAGAACATTTTATGTAACATTAGTCAAATAACAAATACAATTAATGAAAATCTAAGTGGAATTCAGTGAGTGTACAAAAATGCATTGATATCAATTTACTATACAAATGTTATACAATGTTGAACAATGCAATAATGTTTTGAAAATGAAAGAAACGATATATGATAACAGAGCAAATCAATATGTCTTAGAATAAGCTTTTATAATACTATTCTTGGCTTATAGGTTTACAACAATTAAAAAGTTAGGATTTTACACAAATTTCTTTTACAAGATGTGAAATCCGAAGCAAAAATAGTTTAAAAGTTTAAAATGTTTCTTTTTCATGCTACAAATTACAGTCGACTATAACATAATCTTATAAGATACAGTTTCCAACTACAATTACATTTCTCTATGAAGGTGGATTAACATTACCATTAAACCATAATGGTGGATGAGTTAAAGCTGAATTATAGAGACAAAACAATTCAACATCAAGTGAAATCGTTTCACAATATATTTCAGAATTGGACCTAAACGCATACAAACACATGCTTCTTGAAACGTTTCATATCAATTATTGTCTTATGTATTATGCAAAGCATATTGAACTTCATCAATATTTGAATAAAGTGTTCCCTTACAGGATAGCAAATAAAATATAGTTTTAGACAAGAGAACATGTTATTAAGGTTTTGGCTAATCTAAAACCACATGAAACTGAACATTAAAGTTTAATTCAAATCAATACCAATTTGACAAAGAGCCATGTTAGCATGGCCATCCCCCGCCGAATGTGTTTGCTGATTGGAAGAATGTATTTGTAGTAGAGCAGAATAGTTCAAGTGAAAGAGGTCTTTTGGTAATAAAAACTGATGGCTGAAGTGATTACAGATTTGAAACCAATGTGAATACTGATGGCTGAAAATAACTAAGGGCTATAACTGCAAACTAATGCTGGGTAGGTTATCATTCTTGCGCACTGCACCCCTCCGCAATGAGATCTATCCACCTATGAAGTTTCAAGTTGATATCTTTAAACTTTTTGAGATAAGCTCCGGACAAAAAAGTATGAAAAATAACAAAGGGCAATAACTCAAAAATTATAAAGGGTAGAGTTATCATTCTTGCACACAGCATTCCTCCTCAATAAGATCTATCCACCTATGAAGTTTCATGTTGACATCTCAAAGACTGTTTGAGTTATGCTCCACTCAGGTGAAAAATTATGTATGAAAAAAAAAACAAAGGGCAAGAACTCAAGAATAATGATAGGCAGAGTTATCATTCTTGTGTGCTGCACAGCTCCTGAGAGAGATCTATCAACCCATGAAGTTTCATGTTGATCTCTCAAAGGCTTTTTGAGTTATGCTCAAGACAATAATTAAGTTTGAAAAATAACAAAGGGCAATAACGGAAAATTATACAGGGAAGAGTTATCATTCTTGTGCACCACACTCCAACTTAATATGAACTATTCACCTATGAAGTTTCAATTTGATACCTCAAATACTTTTTGAGATATGCTCCGGACAATAATGTCGGACGGAAGGACAGACGGACGGAATGGATGGACGGACGGACGGAAGGACAGACGGACGGAGACCATTTCTATATCCCCCGCCGCCTTTCGGCGGGGGATAATAAAAGCAGATGTTGAAAACGAAATTTTGTTCTTCTAATTGTAATTTATTAAGCACAAGTGGTATCAGATAATTCCAAATCATCAAGATCCTTTATTCGTTATTTATTATTGACAAGAGTTGTATTATGCGTGACGGTTATGACATAATAATAAACTAAATTATACTTACTTATCCCCATTTTGATTATTTATTTATTATTTATCCTAAATAAAAACAGGAACCAGGTCTTACAGAAGAGAAAGGTCAAGACTGATGTAGGATCCGGAACATGATAAAGTTATTTGGAAAGAAATTAATCAGAAACCCCATACCATATTTCAAAATTAAAATTAAAACACTGATATAAAGCTGTAGACAATGTTCATGTCAATTTATAATATAATAAATTGAGCATATTTATTACTACGTATGACACATAAATATACCCGTACATAAATATTTCAACATATTTTAATATCTAGCTTCTAATAATATGCAAACTAAAGTTAACATTACAAGATATATGGTACACAGACATAAGCAAAAATACTGACTTACAGTATTAATTAATTTTATTCTGCGTAGCATTGATACTTCGAGCCTCCGTTGTCAAGTGAATAAAGTCGATTACTTCACATTGCTTCTTGGGCTTCGAATCCCGCAGAGACGTTCGATTATCTTAAATGTGAAATCTACCCAGTCTGCTTACAGAAGGTCGATAATTCTACTTGGGATACTCGGTCCTTCTTGAAAATATAAATGACTGGGAAACTCAGGTCTTCTTTGCGCAACTAAGACTGGCATTTTCCAAGTGACACTGACAGAATCGTAGTTTCTTAAAATCGAAACAAAAACAGTGTCACAGAATCGTCAAACCATTTTATAATGATTCAAGGACAAATCCTTCATATCAGAATCTAGTTGAAGGATCGGAACATACTATATGTATATTTTAGACATGTTTGAGACATTGAATACAACGATGTGAACCAGTACAATACAAGTATGATTGCAACTAATCCAGTTAAGAAAAGTGTAGTTTAAACATCAACACAACTTGCCATTTGTACATATAAAAACCTTTCATAAAATAGGTCATTAAATTGACCTATAAATCAATACCAAATACCATCACTTTCAACATCTTTTCCAACAAAGTGTTTGTTTTATCATTATAAGATAAACAGTTTTATTGAACTTTGGTATTTACACTTAACCCGCTGTAAAGATAAAATGCCTGTTGAAGAAACGGCGTAACTAATATTACTCTTAGCATTACAAGTATTATTGAAAATAATAATAAATTCTGAATCATATTAGTTCTGTTGTGTCCCTTCTTGCAATTTACAAAACATTTTTTTGTAGTCTTACATACTGTATATTCTTAATTCTAGGATTTTTACAGGATACACAGTGTAGATTACTCTTCGTTCTAACAGAATATCCGACAAATTCATAGCGCCACAGAATCATGTACTGTATTTATAATTTTGAATTCACCACAAATTCGTTATGAATATATACATGTTTAATGATCAAACTTAGTCTGTTAGCACAATACAACGCCATTTGTTGATCATTTCCATAGTCAATCTTCTCATTTCAAAGGTAAAACACGCGAAATAGAATATATATGTCGGTACATCTATAGCGTACAACTAGAGTTCTCGTATTAAACTGCCCAACAGTAATGACACCACGATAATATACAATGATGACGATTTATGATTTGAATATGACGGGGAATTCGAATCGCCAAGTGTATATCGGTCATCATGCGGCTCTGAAACAGAAACAAATAATTATGAAAACATTAAAACTAGACTTTGATATACACATATACTAGACTGATAGATAGGAACTATGTTTATAGGCACATCATAATCAAACTAATGTACATCTTCCATGTTAACAAAGATAAGTTAAAATGTCTGTATTGAATTAGTTAATTTGTAGTTTACATTGGCATTGATCGAAACAAAATATTGAAACATTTTTTATGATATATGTATTAAAGAAATATGTGTATGTATATTTTCTTCACAGCGAATGGCGCATGCTTGCAATCAATGCTAAACTGTGAAATCCCTTCTTAAAAAAGCTGCATAAAATTTTGATGCGAAACATATTTTTCTCCATACGTACATATGCGTGAAATAATAAAAGCATTCTTTCCTACAACACTTTCGGGAATCGATCATTAAATTATTGAAACAATTTTAACGTTGATAAAATTGATACAATATTTCCAAAAGATGTTATATACATACTAGCTTTTTGCTCGTTTAGGTGAGAGCTGTGTGTAAGAATATAAGAAAACCGTACTGCTTACCTCTCTTATCAGGATTTTTATTAGCTGAAATAAAAATATTCGGTAATTATAAGATATTTAAATCATGCGATGAATTTATGTTGTTTTTTATGTTTTTTAATCCCAGCGAAACATCAATTTTTAAATTCTTAAAATTTATGTATTTATGATATTTACAGTTAATTAGATTTATGTTGAATTCTTAAAAAGCATGTTTAGGCAATTGAGTTTTCAGTTGCTAGTAACGGTATCAAAACGGTATGACTGATGCAACTGGTTGTTTGTAATAGTGCTGCTATTGTTCATAATACACTTTCATTTGATGTGAAGAAACTGAAAACAGTTAATGTGAACGGCAAATTGTGCAATACATAAAACGTGTTACATCACCGTGTGTTTTGACTTGTAAAGTGACATTATGCTCATTTCTTTCACTGTCAAGTTGAGCTGAATTTACCATATATTTTAAACGATTGACTGTTGTAATGATGATTAACCAACAAGTGATACGGGAAATACAATACAATACCAATCTGCATTGAATATGAAAAGACTGCCCCCCTATAGACCCTTTCATTTAAGCGATAACAGTCAGGGAAGAGTTACTTCCCTTACCGGATGTGACGTAAATGGGGGATAAAACTATGCAGGTCGCATAGAATGTTAGCTGAAAATGTTAATTGAAAAGTTAAATGCGTAAATACTGATCGTTAAATTATGATTATAACATGTAAAAATTTACGCATGCATACATAAATTCAATATCAAGACAATAGAAAAAAAATACAAAAACAAAGATTGAGATTTATTCTCGTTACAGAGTGAAACAGCGAAATTTGAAAGTGAATATATTTATTAGATCTAGATTTTCTCTAATGCCAAGATAAAAAGCTAGTAACTAAATCAAATTTTAATATTTTATAAACACCCATACACACTGAAATTGCCTATAATAAATTTAAATGGCCATTCATTTTCTAGTTTTCTGTGTTATTTTCTGTGATTTAGAAAATTCCGGCGTATTTGTGACAAACATGAAAAAAAGATTGCCAATGTCTTTTAATGATTGTTTTTCAAGCTTTAATAGAACTTACTGATTCTTTTTCATTATGCCGTATAAAAATATTTCAAAGAACCAGTGAAGGATATAATTTTATAAATATTCCGGAAAGAACGAAAACCACGTGGCATTGACTTTTATAATTTTAGATTCGCAACAGACGATAATAAGATAATTTTGATATTAAAAATCTATTCTTATGGTTATAAAAATAAAGACCTTTTCCCAGTAACTTATTTCATAGATAAATAGATGTGTATATACATGTATAAGCGCCACTGGGCCGTAACATATTCATGTGTTAATTGTATATACAAGCGGCACTTGGCTGTGATATCATAAATCACCAGGGTGCATTTTTTAGAGTTATAACATTGCATCAGATTACGTCACTTTTGTTAGTTGTCAAAATACTTATGGTCCGAATTTTGTTATTGATCATCCTAGGGACTTTATTGGTCATGCCTTACTGATTTGATACTCGATCCAGAGTCCTACCAACTGTCACAGTCAAAAATACATAAAAAAAATTATAATTCAGTTAATAAAAAATTTTTGTGAAAGTGTTTCACAACTTGTTTTTGTTTGTTTTTGGTGATTTTTTTAAAATATTTGATAAGCAGAGTATGAATTAAAAAGTATCAAGTTGAAAATATTACTTTACCAGCTTAAATATATTGGTGTGATGTACGAGATTTTGAGAGTGCATTTTTTGCCGACACAAATAGTATACAGTCATGTACATTCAAAAGAACTTTTACTTTTAATGCCTTTACATTTTTTTGATATTACATAGATTTATATTGTTGTTTTTCTTTGTCTTAATAATGCTTAAATCAAAATGATTTTTAGTTAACCAGTATCTTGCAATTAATTATTACGCAGCTGTTTTTCGAAACTACAGAATTCTTACATTTTTGAAACTCAAAATATCTTTTGGGTATTGTATATGAGCAGAGACATTATCTATATCTCTGGTATTAGCAAGTTAGTACGATTATAACTGCTTGGTAAAATTTTCATTATTAAGAATCTAACTAAAATGGTAATCATGATCAGTTACCCAGCAATATGGACTACTATTTAAAAAGAACAATCGTTAACCTTATTATAGTAAACATTTTTTATTCATTTCACCATCCTTTTAATGTAATATCTTATTCAATTACACAAAATTTTGAAAATTTCAATCGGCCAATCTTATAAGAGAAAGGATTAAGATCTTTATATCACTCTATTAGTGTACTAAATCGTATCGGCATTGTCCACCGTATCCCCCAATGACGTCATCCAAGGGCGACAACTTGAATACGGTCCTAAATGAAAGGGTCTATAAATTGAAGGTTACGGGTAAATTCCAATTAATATTTACAGGAAATATCCTTGGGCATTGTGAGATATTTATTGACAATGCGAAATAAATTATACAATTGAAAGGAATAATAGAAAAATATAAACATATTTTGACATTCACCGGTTCATCTAAAATTCGTTCTTTAAAGTTATTGTCATATCAATAAAATTCTATATATAATGAATTTTATAATGAGTAAAAAGCCTTGTATTTACTGTTACTGTAAATTACATAGAGAAATATAGAACAAAACATTAAAAACGTTTCAACGTTGTCCTCAATATAGCAGAATAAATTGTTAAATAATTCAGGCACTTACTGTTTAAAACTTGAACACTGACACTAGTAACCTGGAGGTCAGACGTCCGACAGGAATAAGTCCCAGTATCAGACATGCGCACGTCTGTTTTTGTCAAAATGCTTGTAATTGTCCTTGAATTAATGAAAAACTGTTTTCTTAACTCAACTTTTCTATCTGGCACTATTTTTGTACCATCTTTAAACCAGTCTATGGAATCTGGCGGAGTAATAGCTCCTGAAGCATTGCACGTGAGTTTCAATGTTCTCCCTCGATCAACATGTAAAGTACCCGTCAATGTTATTCCTGAAAATAGTAAGCTTAAAAGCAACTCGGCATAGAATGTATGAAATATAAACGTTCGCTTGTTAACAATGCATGTATATTAGTTATTTATGATCGGGTCCATGAAATGTACATTCAGCTGTTTCCTTTTCGAGCTTTCTATTTTATTTGTTTGTTTCATCACTAAATAAACGCACTTTGTATTTAGGAAAGTTATTACGATATTTAATAAAAGACAAAACATATAATAAAACAGTATAAAATATTACTGCATTATCAAAGCAAATATTTCAATACACGATCAAACTGGTTTGATATAAACTATAACCGCAAAATTGCATACTAAGCAAATTGGTGAAGATAAGTTAATGTAGCACGCATTTACGAGTCAATGTAATTTCAATCTTAAATTTTGAAACATCACAGTGAAATTGTGTTGTGCATAAATGTGTCAAAAAGTGCATAAACACACACACAATATAAAATATCTATAAATGCGTATCTATCAGCCAAGTAAATCAGTTAAAATGTTACAGCTAAGTAAATTTCAAGACAACATAACACATGCACCTATTATTATCAAGCTAATTGCCCTCAATATATAGTTATCTACAAAGCAGTGTTTGCAAATATCAATACAGAAGATGATTTTTAATTAAAACAGAAAAAGAATTAGTATGCTAGATAGGGATTTCAGTAAATACGATCGTTTTTATTCTAATATTATCGTTGAGATTATTTTCACATTAAAAACGTGTGAAAGTTATTGTCAATGATTATTTTATGTTGAACGTTGTTAAATATACATATTTGATCTTCGCAATGTTATATTAGTATCTGCGTTCTAAAACATATACAGTAACTAAAACGGAGTTTGTGTTTGGTCATGTTTCTTTACAACAATCCTGAAATTGTGTTCGGGTTACACAAAACCAACTATTAGTTTACGTTGAGACAAATTTTCGAAATAAAAAGGGGTAAAACAATACATTTCAGCTATTGTTCTGTTTTTAAAAAGAACACATTTTTGAAACCTAGAAACAAATGCCATCTGACATTCAATCTTTTTTTTTCTGTTGAAATTTGTAAAACAACAGTGACATAGATACTTGAGACCCGTATTCAATTTTTTTTCAAAGAGATCGAGAGAGATAATTGACAATTGAAGTGTCAGCTTGAAATTTTGTTCACTCCTTATTTTGTCATCGTACTGCTTTCCTTTTGATTTTCTATTTCATTTTGTTAGGGGGAAGTGGACTCGATAACAGGAATGTTGTTTATGACACGCTCCATTTAGCATTATAATATCATGTAATTTTTCAGGATTGCAATAAAGTAACAAAGTATTGTACGGATTTTAGTGAATTGGGTTAATTCTAAAAATGACTTACGCGGCTCAGCGTATGAGAATTCGTCTGAAATTAGAAATAAACAAGTCTGAGATAGTTTGTCCAAACAGTATTTAATACGTTAAATTATGGTTTATATTAAGTGCTTTGTTTTCTTGCTAAAATGAACTGGAAAATTCTTGCTCTTAAGCAATTGGTGTATTGCCATGAACTGAAAGATTTTGCAAATGAATGCATTAAGACAAGAAGATATCACATATTGTATAAAAATAGATATATGGAACATAAAAAGGGGGTACTGCCAAAAAGTATAATTCTAAACAAATGTATACGTACCTTTTACATTTAAGAAAACTTCTTTACGAAGATCTCTGTTCGTAGAGCTAATTTGACATTCATAAGCACCACTATCTGCTGTGGACACATTAGAAATCATGAGGTTCCAATTGTTAGAATCTTCTGTGTGAGCAACTTCAAATCTTTTGTCACTTGTTATAATGACTGTTCCGCTCGTAAGAAAAAGGCTTTCATTCGCCCTTCGCCAACTTATCTAAGTAACAAAAATAAAAAATGAAGATAGATATTTCTTAAAACTTCAAACAATTTAAAAATTGGCACAGGAGACGAAAAAACCTGTATAATTAATCAGTTTTTGAGATATCATGTAAACATCATATAATTATGTTCTTATTTCTTTGAATGAACTTATTAGGGCATGGTTCAATGAAGGTTTGCCTGCTTTTTAAATTTGTCTTTTGACGTCTTATCTGTTATATGCAGGCTTCATAACCTCAGATCCCCTTTCAAAATTTCATTTTATTTAGTTCCGCCCATTGTTTTCTCGTTTAGGGCAAAAGCATTCTTTTACTTGGGGACCATACGCCGCATTTCATGGAATGGCACTACTGTGTCACATTGAAGATTCCATGATAACCGCCGTATGAACACATCTGCGGATGTTTCTAAATTCAAAATCTCACCATTTTCGTGTTAAATGTTGAATTCTGGTTAAGCCGGTGCTAGTGGGCGTGGACGGTAACTTGCACTTTCCAGTACCGTCCATGAACAGGCTCAATCAAACCGAGCCTGCAATCTTTTTTAATTTTGTTGTGTTGGACTTTCTTTAGGGACTCTGTTTTTCTCTATTTCATCCATCTTCAACTTAAATATGTTTTTTAACGCTTGCAAAACCCCCTTTTACACCTTTTAAGAAGCACCTTATGAGAGCGTGTGAATGAATTTTATGTTGTACAATTGTTGATTGCAGACGCAGGACGATAATATAAACTATGTTTAGGTTCTTTTTGATGACCGGTGCTCCACTCCTATACAATTCTTTGTCTTTCATAGCACAAAAGCAGAGTTGACAAAATTGATACAATATCAATAGACATACAGTCGACTCCACTTATAACGAACTCGCTTATAACGAATTATCGTTAGTAGCGAACTAAATCTGACATCCCCGGCTGATTCCTTCTTTAACTTATATTAAATCACATCGCTTAATACGTACTCGCTTATAACGAATTTTCGGCTATAACGAACCATTTTTCAAGCCCCAAATGACGGAAAACATGTAAATTTCCTCGGTTATAACAAACTGTTATAATTAAAATATCGGGATGAGCTCGATTAGAAGCAGTACATGAATAACGCTATCCGATAATTATACAATCGAATGATTGCACAGGTCAGGAATAAAGATTTTTATGAAATGTTCTCACAACATCATTTCCTTATTGTTACGGAAAATTTGTATTTCGCACTCGAATAAATACATGTACCATGTACTTAATATATTGTTTAAAAATGCCCCGCATTTAATAACCGCTGCAGTAAAATAACGGTTACACCGGTAACATGTGAAAAGTATGGCTTTTTCACGGCCAATTCCCCCACCCAAACAAGTCAACACGTTGTTGCTACTTCGCTTGTAGCGAACTTCGGATATAACGAACGATATTTTGATGTCCCATTGAGTTCGTTATAACCGGAGTCGACTGTATTTGCTTGTGTTCAATTTTGTTGAATGTTGGAATTGTCATATATTGTACACACCTATATTTACCGAGTACAAATGTATAGACAAAAAAAATACACACCACTTTTGTACCCAAATGCTTAACAGAACAATAGAGAATGGCCCGTTCACCCTTGTGATAAGTGTAGTTGGACTCTGTTTGTAGGAATTTCGGGGCAGGTGTGGAATACTTAAACTCTTTTCGTCTAAATCCTGCCGCTGAAAAAAAAAACATTTCGATAATTATTGTGTATACTGAGAGTGAATGTTAGATACATGTAAGTAAAAATACGTGTTTTTTATTCGTACGTAAGTTGAATATGATAAAAAATGTGCAATCTGAAGTACAAGGTATAAAATCAGAATTTCAGTATTAAAATACACACTAACGCCAATGATACTAATGTCGGGATATTCTATAAACGTTCATTTTGATATAATAACGAGTAATTTTACGATAAAATGAAACTTACAACAAGTTAAGTCAATTTAAATACGGTAACAAATAAAGACTTTTACGTTTCAATAAAAAAATAATGCGCAAACCATTTTGTTCTGACTTACATGTAGTCTATCTAAATCGGTGTGATTAAAACAAAATGTAAATTTTCTGTCTATAATAGTTTATATCTTTTTAACTAGCGAGAAATTACTATCAATATCAATTAATGGTTTGCGAAAATATGTGTTTTATATCATTAAGGTGTTGGTATTATAAATCTTCACCTGGTGGTAAATGGTATATAAATGATAATTTAAATGCATTTTAACAAATATTCTGGTATCTCTTTGCTTTGAATTAACTTAAGATATAACATACTGATCGAAAGTTAATACCGATTAATAATGTATATATAAAAAAAATTATAATTTAAACATTTACAAGCAACAGACTAATCCCAGCACCATGCCAATATTTTCAAAATTGGAATGTTTTAATATGCGTTTACTAATTAAAGACAGAAAATTGTATTTCCTGTGAAAGGGAGTGAAAGATGAAATAATGTTTATCGTTGAATACAATCTATTTACCATAATACATATGCTATGTACTAAGACTGCCTCTCATTAACAAGTGCTCTTAGAGAATTATCAAAGAACTAAAATGATTACTAATACAAAAATAAAATTATTAAATATTTAAAAGTTGTGACATAGTTTGTGCTAGTTTGTACTTTCAAGCACCACTGAACAAGATTTGGTATTGCATGAGATTTTAATTACTTCGTATCATTGTATCGCCCGATAAAAAGGCAGAAAGATCATTTGTTTACGATACCATTCCTTGTCACATGATATATCAACTATCATTGTAAAGGATTTCAAGCAGTACTTGTTTATATCGAAACATGATTGAAATGTAACACAGTGTCATACAAAACATGACATAATTATTTAACCTTAGTATCACGTCAGTTATTTGGCTTTGCTGTTATATTTGATACCATTTATTAAACGGTACTAACCTATAAAATATTGTTCATAAACCTATAACAAGATGTAATTCAACATATACGTTGATAAGTAAGTCATAAATCAAGTGTATCAAGAGTCAGGAAAACCGAACATATCAAGAAATTACGACTGAAATTGACTGTCGTCTTACATTTTAATGATTTAACAATTGACCAAAACCTAAAAACCAGTAGACTTTTTGGCGAAAATGCACATTTGGATTTCTGTTATCATTTGTTAATGTATTGACGTATTAGTGTATTGAAACAGTTCACGTTTGGTGTACACATCTCTGTAACAAACATTTACCCTACTTGCATTTGTGTGACAAGTAGGAACCAAGAGTGATTCAATAGAAACTTAACACTGTCATATGAATAATTTATTAGCCTGCAACTGTAGACAGCTGTTATCTTTTTAAAAGCACCATTAAAGTGTGTTTTTTCTACTTCTTTTTTGAACTCCAAAATGATTCTCAAAAGCATGCCATTTCTAGGAAAACTCAGATTTTTTCTAGTTTATTCATGATACCTTATCGTAAGTAAAACAGAGAAAAAAGAAAGAAAGTAACCCGGGAATTAATCATAAGAAAAACACATAATCATGGCATGCACACTGTCTTGTACATAAACCAATTATCTACTTTATAAACGTGGATGTTAAACTCGTGTCTGTTGCTCTTGTTGGTATTTTATCTTTATTGTCCAACCACAATTATTAAGACGTCAAATATTAGATTACATGTTTTACTTGTATCAAAATAAAACTTATCATAGTGTCTTACTGAAACATTGTATCTGTTATTAACACATGTGGATATTGCACTTAAACATATATAATATAAACAGTTAATGTGTTATTTTATGCAGGTGCAATGATTTTGCGCCACGGATAACAACAAATATATCTTACACAGATATTCGGAATGTATTCTTTTTCCAAATTCAAACAATAATTTTTGTTCACAGATATATAGCTTAAAATTTTAAGCATAAACAGCCAGTACCCAGAAACTAATGACTTGATTATTCTTAACTTATTGTGAAATGTTCTTGGTAAAAACTCCTTATTGAGATAATCATGCATTACCAATATAAATAACACAGTCTTAATGGTTCTAGTAATTAACCCTTTCGATAAAATATTTATCATCACAGATGGTACACAATCGTTTTACCGCTGTAATTCTAGGAGCATAGTGTACACGTATATGATGATTACAAGATAAATAATTAAAGCTTTGTCTGACATTTTAACGCCATATTGGCATAGTATTGACACCATCAAATGTAACATATGAGAGGGTTAACTAATCGTTCGCTCTCCGTCTGTCTCGTTGTATGCGAAAGGTGTATATTTCCAAGTGAATCAAACTTTATCGTATAAATAGGTCGTGCCAAATCACGGGTAAATTTGCCTATAGTTTGAATACAGTCAGCTATTATAATTATAAAAACTTAAGCGATATAAACTGTTATTTTCTTTTTATTCTAAAGAATTCAGAACAGGATTTGGCAGTGAATCTTACATTTTCTTCATTCGATAAGAGCAATCATAATTTCTCAATACTGTATCTAGAGCAGACATGAACAGCTTTTATTAAATAAGCTATATATCATTATACCAGTGACAATTGAGCATTATATGCATTTCGTCTTCTATCCCATTTGTACATACTGGACAAATTATGAAATTTACATCCAATGGTACATGCTCATCATGAAATTTTCTTCAATATAAACTGCATTCAGTTGTTTAGTATCTTTAAATAAGTAATCATTGCAAAACAATGTCTAGTAATCCTGGCACATATTTTATACGCTGGCATATCTTACTTTGTGGTGAAGAGCCAACATTTTTATTGCAGTTGTTACCACAAATTACATTACGAGCTTGTCTAGATATAATTGATAGATTTGAGATGATGTTACTGTATCGTTCTGTGACGGATTTATAACAAAATTGACACTAAAGCAGTGTGTACATGGTTGGTATACTTTCTGTGTTTTCTTTAGATGTTAGGTAATAAACATGAATGTGAATTGATCACATAGGCAGTGTTTTAATTGATCATTTATTGGATCATGTTTCTCGACTATTTGATGATTATACGGCAGTATTCTATAGGAAAATATATTAATAGTGCCGAAATAACTTTGAATTTCAAAAAGATATAATACGGTCAATATAAATAGAAAATGAGTCAGTTTTAGCCAGTTAAATGTTACATGGTGAATACAATATTAATACATATAACCCGTGACATAATCCTCCAAGCTATTGAACTTTACCCTCTTCTAATTTCTAATGGGTATATAGAACAATATGAATTAGAAATCAAATTAGAGTTATACCGTCACGGTCCCCGTTAAGCGTAAAGTGTCACAAGGTGAGAAAAATGTGAAAACATGTGTTGCCTCACCGGGAATCGAACCATGTATCCTCGGAATATTGTCCCGCGGCTCTACCGATTGTCAGTATCATGTCACAAAGAAAAGAAGTATCATTATGTACACTATTGAATATTTGCACTTTTTCAAATAATATAATTAGTATTATTAAAGGTATAAATGCCTTTAATATATTATGATCATTTTAACAAAATGCTTACTGGTAGGTTAATAAACACATGCTCATCAACAAAATAGTCTAATTTCCAAAACACATACATTAATATGATTAATACTGTAGATATTTTATAAATTATGACTTCAATTAGATGTGAGCTTTTTATCATGCTGCTATGTTGAAATCACAGTTTGTTCCTTTTGTATACAAACTACACTTAGACGCACGGTATATGCATTTGTATCATAAATTATTTCTGGATAAAATGTAACGCCACAAGGTCTCTTTAGATTTTGAATCGTCAAACAAAATTATCAGAGTTATAGATGATGTATGTAATTCTTAAACCTTACAAATGTTATAAGGGCTTTTAATGAGGTTTTTTTTCACATAAAAATAATGATATAGGCATTCCCTTATACAAGCAGAGTTATTGTTTGAGATGCAGACATTCACATATTAAATGAGTACGTATTTATATGGTATTTTAAGTCGTGATTCAACCAGTGCTTTAAGTTGGATATCATAAACTGTTGAAAATAGCAACTTCCCCCCCAGGCATTGGTCACGCGTGTCAGTCGTTAATAAAGTATTACTTTTTTGATAATAATATAGTGAACAATGGCATATATTGACATCTTTGTTGTGTAAAGTCTAACTCCGTTGCTTGTAGCACTCAAAGCTTTGCATGCAGACTCTGTTTAATGAAACACATTACCCATATGTGAACTGGACAAAGAGATGTGTTAGTACGCAATTAAAAGCATGCAGTTATTGTTGTAAGGTTTATGTTGTCATTACTAGATGATATGTAGATTGTAATAAAATAATACACTAAGTAGTCCAACAAAGTGATATAAGTTTGTATGTACTTGAATGTCTTTTGCAAACTCTTTTTACATATGCCTTAAAAAGTAAGAAGTCGTAAAATGAAAAATTTTAATTTTCGTAAAATGGTGAGCGTATTTATCGTTATTACACATGTATAAACAGAGAAGAAATACCAATTGTCTTTGTCATAATAAGTCATGAAAAATACATGCATCAAGGATATTTTCAATTTTATATTCTATAAGATTACAAATAAGTAGTGTTATCTTTTTTTTTAATTCTTTCTTTTAAATAATATTTTATGTCCTATTAAAGTTTCAAAAATTACATTCATTTGCTAATATATACATGTACCTGAGTTATCT